TAGATTTTGAAAAAAAACAGATCTGGCTACAAAAAGGACCAACCGTCCTGCAGGAAATTCCAAGTGTTCAAGATTTTATTACATTCCAAATTGGAACAACACCTTAAACCTCAGAACTTAATGAGAATGGGAATATTCTGATTTGGGAACATAGTCGTGTAGCCAGGCCTCTCCATCTACCAACACAACTCATGTGGAAAGGGACACAGCCAGCTGACAGAGGGTGGGGAGGATGGTAACCTGTATCCAGGCTCACAAAGGAAAGTCTGATTTGGAGCCAGGAGGACACCTAGAGCAGCTGAGGGATTTAGGAAAGCCAGGAAGCCTGTATCCCAAAGGGGCATGGAGGCTGCAGAGCCATGATGCCCACACTGCCTACCAGACAAAAGGGTCTGCAAAGCTTGAAGCCAGAGGCCACCATAAGCTTTTCACCTGGAAGCAGGACCTGCTAAGGTCCCACCAGGCTCTGAAGCTGCCTCTACCATCAAGCCAGGCACCAGGCAGAAGTCAGATCCCATCTGGCAGCGGGAGGAGTTGAGCGGCATGACTCTTTAGCTTTGCATGAGAACTTAGTCAGGATCCTCTTGTTCTTCAGAGGTCCAAACTTTCTTACAGAAAAGGTGTCCTGCTAGAACACGTGCTGACAAGTCTCTAGCTCTGAAGAAGAAAGAAACCCCTCTATTAAAACATACAGAATCATCAAATGGTTGCTGCCTGGCAGGAACTGCTCTTAATTCCAGTATTTGTGCTAAGTACATCACTCAGAAATGAATACAAATTAGTAACCAAGTACAGGCAGTATTAAACTAGAAAGTCAAAAGAAACTAAGACCCAAATGTTAGAGACATTGTAAAGCAGTGCTGTTGCTTCTTGCTGCTTTGAGATCTTAGTTTTACATTACTGGCAACCTGAAGTGTTCCAAGATCTTGAGCTGGGCTCTCCAAAAAAAATTTTGACTAAAAATCAGAACAGTTTAAAAAACAACATTTGGCCTCTGTTTTGTTTGCCTTCTAATTTTGGAACTTGTAGTGCTCATGGTTTCAGATTTGCCTGGAAATATGAGAGCTGGAAGTTTACATTTTGAAGAAATGAAAGCTGGCATTTTTGTCATCACATGACTCCAAGAGCTGGGGCTTGAGAGAAAAACATAAAACATTGTCAGGCTTTCTACAAAATTGTGAGATTAGCAGCATTGGTTTTATCACAATTTAGGCTGCAAGGTTGACCTATTTTATCAACAGTGCCCTGCTGAATATGAATTGCTTTATGAATTTTAACAACCATATTTCATTTTAAATATAGTTCCATTAAAGTGACATTTGTCACTGAGCTTCAAAGCGAACTATTCAATCATCAACCTGGGCTAAACTTTTTGTCTGAGCAAGTGGAAGTTGTAAACTACACCAACTTTGCATCCCAGAGACACTCCTCAAGGCAGAACACCTCATATGCTCATTGCCTGTCCTGGGGACTATCTCAGCATCAAGAAAAAGGAGCATCTAGCCTTCAAGTTTCTTTTGCTCTCTGTCCAACCAACGTGACAGCTACAGAGCCCCAGACTTCACCATGTTATAGAGCAAAGACACTAGGAAGTAGTGTATGGCCTCACAAAAGATGAGGAGGTCACCATGAGATCTCCCTTGAGGCCCTGAAGGGCAGAACTAGATTTAGCCCAAGAACTTGCTGAGCTGCACTTGGTGTCTGCACGCTCTTTCCTCAGCCTGTTTCACAGCTGCAGATCACTACGGAGCTGTTCTGAAACACAACCTGAGATCTTCAAGGCTGTTGATGCACTAGAGTTGACAGAACACGCATTTCTTTCATTTCTGGTAAAATAGCAAGTCTGAAGTTTGCAAAGGAGAAGAGCCCAAATACTCAGCAGGCAGAAATGGTTAAAGTGAAAACCTTTTCAGTAACATACATACAAAGATTAAGCAGAACAGAAAGCATGTGCATGGGAGGGTGCATTCCAAAGTGGCATAAAATAACATGGAGGGAGGTTTAGTTAATTATTCAAAGAAACTCAAACCTCTTCACAAATTAGGTCTAGAATATCCTGAAAAGCAGAAAAATTATAAACATTTCCCAAAACACAAAATCCTATCTAGATCACATTTTAGCATTTTGAGGTCATACAGATTCTTTAATCTAATCTGCAACTCTTCTCCAGTTTAGTATTATCTCCTTGCTTAACTCTCTATATGAAGCCAAGCTGTTTGTCTTCTGCATTAGTGACATCTCCTTCCTGTTAATTCAGAAAAGATGGACTTGAAATGCCTATTAGAGATTCAAGCGCCAGGTACATTTTTCTAAGCTCAAGTAGCTAACACATCTTTCTTCAGCATCACAGAAGTGGCTAGTTTAATTGAGCTGTAGTTATACTCTGCATTTGCAGTCCTCTAAGGGGGAAAAACATGTCACAGCCTCTCCCTGCTTATGCATTGTGTGTCTATCAGTGACTGTATACTGGGGTAAGGAGAGAAGGAACTGTTTCCAAGTTAGCACACTTAGAAAAAGGAGTCATAAATCATGGGGTCAGTCAGGTTGTGCTTTTTTTTAACCTTAGGGTATTATGTTTTCAATACAATATTTCAATAGCTTTTTTCTGCGTAATAATTTATCTGGAATTACGGCAACTCTTGCAAGCTTAGAAAAAATTGGCTCAAGTAAAATGAATCCTTTGCCATAAATAGGTTGTGTTCATAACTGCAGCCTAATCATTCAGTTGCACGTAAGTCAAATAGTTATCCAGACTTTGTAGGAATATTTCCCTGTCAATAAATCTAATGCTATTTAAAAACTCTGAGCCAATGTGACAGAAGCCTGTTAGATTAATTAGGGCAAGGTCATAAAAGCTGAACTCACATCTACATTCATGTCAGTTTTGTTCCACCTACCATAACCTGATTGTAAACTCACAGACTGTTTTAAACATGGGCATGTTAAGGTGACTTCATTGTCTTCATTTGTATACAAAGGAAGATTTCTTCAGGAATTGTTTCTTCTAACAGTCAACTAAGCACGCGATTGCTTAGTTGAAGAAACGTTTTGCTTTGTATTCACTGTCAATAAGGATTTTCTTAGTTTTAAACCTTTTTTCCTGTCAGTGACTTCACAGTGATTGGACTACATTCAGGGTTTGTGAAACTTCAGGACCATGCAGACCACAGAACTGTCAATAGGCAGGCAGTAAAATCAGAATCTCCCCACAAACTGATCATCTCTGTGGGAGTGAGAGGACGGTATTGTCTCTCTGCCTGTTCAATTCTTGACCTTTACCATGTGACTATCCAAAAGGAGGGTGTCCCAAATCTGATGGGTTTTGTGTGAAGTGGACCCTGTAGGTGAAATTCTGACCTTAGCAGGGTCAGTATTTCATTCAAAATCCCTTGAGACAGATCTCCAAATCATTTCTTAGGTTTGCAGCTTGTATCAGATGGTAGCTAGCTGACTTTCATTTACTACTGACTCAGGTCAAACTTGGACCAGGGATCAAGAGATGAAAGGCTTTATGCCTCATTATCAATAATCAGTGTTCTCTACTACCCTAAAAACGACATACTTCATTCTTATCTACAAGGCCTTAAAACTTAAAAGGGTTGGGGTCAAATTATGTTACTTCCATTTATTTTCATTCACTACTTATGAAAAAACTTCCTCTCTCACCACCACAGCTAAATGCTAAAAATATAAATACTTTCCTTGATATTGCAGAGGTTCTATTATCGTTTTTCTTTTAAGGTCTTATTACACATACAGCAAGAAAAAAATCCTTCCCATATACAAATTTAAAGAATAAAATCCTACAAAAAACAACCCCCCAAAAAACACCCAGAGGCCAAGACTAAGCCAGGCTTTATCCATCTCAAAATTATTTTCAGTAAAGCACATCTTGTATAGAAGTTGCCTTACAACAGAAGGGTGGAGCTTCCCCAGAAGTTTTCCATAGTTACGCAAGTCCTGATACTGACAGAATATCCTCCGAAACTATAAAGGAGGTTTTTCTTCTAGCATGAAGCCATACAACTCCTCTGATTTTGCTGGAATTAAGTTTTCTTAGATGAGTTATAGGTATTTAGGAGATTAATTCTGAAACACTAAAGAGCTGGTCTGGAAAGAAAATCTGCTGTTACTGAACTAACAGAACATAGCATCCACTTCCACAGCAACTTGCACTGCTCTACACATAACTGCATACTTAAACAGCCAGAGATTTCACCATGATTCTAGATACCTGTGAAATGTCAAATCCCTCCTTTGTTATTCTGTGAAACCTTCACGGGCAAACTAATCTGCATTATTCCCCAAGCAGGGGCATGCATATATACACATGGAAGAAAAGTGATGAAAACAGTCAATGGCATGAAAGAAACTTCTGAATAATTTAAGGCAAAAAGAGGTTAAATCAAGTTTACTAGTTATGCTGGGTTAACAACTTTTTTCTACGACTAGGAATAAACCTGCAGATATCTAGGACCTACACAGTTGTTCTCCTAAACCTAAGCAACATTTTGACCAGTTTCTCATTTAGGCAATACTTCACCCAAAGAACTGAAAATTTCCAGACTTTCAACACCTGGGGCAGCAGGAAGGAGGTGCACTTGATTACAGATCACTGAAGAGAACTGCTTCCACAAAACTTCAAGGAACAGTCATAGGAGACCCATTCCAATCCAACTCTTTCTGGCAACACTTTTGCCACTCCTGAGTCTGTAGCTGAAAGAGGATTTGGTCCTGCAAACCCTTGCTCACATGGCCAGTTCCCCTCACATCTGGGTCCTGATCCTACAGGAGCTGTGTTATCATGATATGCCTTCCAAGAAACTGACCTTTTTTGCTTAATGACAGATAACATCTTTGTGTGTTTCCACAAGTAAGATGTGAGCCATCTGCAGAGATTCTTAAAGAAACTATGACAATAATGGCTGAGGGAAAGCGTGGGGAAATGAAAGGAGAAAAAGAGATATAAGAGGGGCATGGGTGGAAACGCGGTCTCTGACCTGGATCTGTTGCTGAAGAAGGTTAATTTTGTGTTGCTGCTGCAGGAGCTGCTGCTGCTGTCTTGCGATCTGTGAAGAAATTGCACAGAAGATATGTGAGATATGTATCATCATTCCTGGAGTCGGTACATAGGAAACTTCCACTCTGGCTCTTTAAAATGCTCTATTAAGCTAAGAAACCTTTGAGTGTGGGTAACAGCAGCCTGGACAGCTGTTGAAGCAAGGGGCTTATGTTCAGGAACAATTCATAGCTAATACTAGTGTGAAAGGAAATCTTTTGGAAAATGTTGTGCTGGATAGCGAGAGAGACTGATGCAAAAATGTCCTCTCTCACTATCTGAAATGGTACTGCTAAAATCCCCCAAAAGTGAGCACTGATTTGCTCCAATTTGCTGGAGAAAGAACAATGATGGCAGAGAAAATGGAAAATAGTAGGAAAAGACAGGAAAGGCAAAGTAAGTTGGATGGACAGCAATATCCTTTTTATGTTTGGCATCACTTATTCAAAAAATAAAAAAAGCAAATAAAAAAAGGAAATCTGACATTCAGGAGGAAAGTGTTAGTGTGTGTATTTCCTTCACGCAGAAACACACAAAGAGACTGGGTTTGGGACACAAGGAACTGTGTTTTGGGAAAATCGCTAAAAGGGAATAAGGAGGCAGTGCAAGGCTACACAGCTCAACACTCAAACTGATTTGCAGAAGCTGATGGAGTCATCATTATGTCTCCTCTCAAAGTCATGTGGGTTTCCCATAAGGACTTCCATCCTTTCACTCCATTGACTAAAAGATTGGGAACCTTACTGTAGATACATTTTATATACAGTAATGGAACCAAATTAAGAGTTCTTAGAGAACTGATGGAGATAAGCCATTATATACCTCAAACTTGAAAAGCAAACTTGAAAAACTTTTGTTTAAGCCATAACAAAGGCTCTGCTCTCACGAACAGCTAGCACAGCAGTACAAACATTAGACTGAGTATTGCTCTTCCCCTGTGGTATGTGTACACATCGCAGGGTCAGATGGGAACTTACACATACTTACTGGGAGGAATTTTGCGCATTCTTCCCCTTAGGTATTTTCTTTCACTGCTATTATTAAACTATTAGCATAACACTCACTCACAGTTAATCTCACATCCAAAAGATTAAATAAGGGTTTTCTTTCTACAGCCTCTCTTTAAGCAAGCAAACATTTTTTTCAATACTTTTCTTTTTTAAAGTTTTGTTATTATAATTTCTATATAACACAGAATTTCTTGAATTAAAAGAAATCCTTCAGGATTTCTAACTGCCTTTTTCCATTCTCTCCATTTTCTTTTTCACTTTCAGATCATCCAGCCATCCTGTAGCAATAGCAACTTTCAAAGGTAGGGCAAGGGAGATAGCTCCTGCAGGATGTCTCTTGTGGAAGAATCTCAGCAGTTCCACCTTCACACCTTCATCTACCTTCTCCATGCAAACAGAAGTGTGACACAAATTCTCTAGTTTAATAGATAAGCCACTTCTCCTGTTCTCCCTATGTGCTATTTCAGGTGTGAAGCCAAAATACACAGTATTTAAGATCAGGTTTTTAAATAATCAAAACCAGGGAAAACCAAGGCTAAAATGTCTGAGTGGATTAAAAACTTCAGACTTGCTTGGTACAACATAACCACTGAAGTATAACAATTACAACAGATTTCAAAGAATTCTGTGAGCTTAATAAAATTCACATAACTGCAATTCTATTATATAAACTCAAATTTCATTACAAGCTGAAATTAAGGGTCAGGCAGACCAAAATGCTTTCAGATAAGAAGTACCAGGATGGACTTTTCACAAAATTTTAAACCAGATGTCTATTCTCTGCTCATGTTGAGGCACAAAAACGGACATTCATTTCTGTTAAAACTTGCATGGCGTAGACTTATAAGAAAAGTTATGTTCTTGTATAAAATGTTATGTATCCATGTATGCACACTGGAACTGTTCACATGTAAAAACATTTGCATTTTCAGTGGAAGGCATTATCTGCAAGAGCTGAAAATCAAGCCTCTTGCATGTAGAAGAAAAAAGTCACACTTGTTCACCGACTTTATATTCTTCCCCCCCACTTTTTTTCCAGAGTTGGCAAAACCAGCATTTCATTTCTCACATTACAATCCAAGTGCTGCATTTTGTTCCTTTTATACCTGTTCAGCATCACTGAATTCAAGCAACACTGAAAGGTTATTCAGGAGGCATAAATTTGCATGCTTATTTGCGCTTATTAAAAAAAAAAAAAAAAAAATTGGAAGAGAAGAGCTCCAAAATGGAAGGTCTATCTTTATAAAACAAAGAGCATCATTTTATATATTGCAAATTAAAGCATTCTTCCAATCAGTTTTTGTTCAAACTTCTTCACCTAAAAAAATAAATGGGAAAAAAAATTTGGGGGGAGAGCAAACTTGATAGTATCAGCCCTAAAAGATAAACTACTGGGAAGAAAATTATTTAAGCTGAAAGCCACTCTAATAATCACTCACCTGTTCTTGCTGCTGCTTAGCCAGCTCCATTTGTTGGCGTTGTTTCTCAATCTGTGATGCAGCCAGTTTCTTCTGTTCATCATGAGCTGCTAGCAGCTGTTCTCGCAAACTGGTCAGCTGATTGATCATACCCATGAGCTGCCTTTCTTTCTCAGCGAGGCTTTCTGGAGTCCCTGGGCATCATATGGTGAAAAGAGAAAAAAAAAAAAAATGGTAAAGAGAAGAGAGGAAATTTAGAGGTAGCCAGGTTTTTATTCTGCAGCTTCACCATGAGCAAAGTTTTATTAGAACCAAAATACAGCAGCATACTGCAAGACACTGTGCATTAAGACCTGTCCCTCTACAGAAAACTGAGGCATGGAGGATAATTCTGTACACAGGCTCTGATCTGGTGCTGCCCTTCAATGCTGCTTTGACCCTTCATCTATTTTTTTTGCCTTTTTATCAGATTACTGGGGGGGGGGGGAATCCTGCCTCTTTTGTAAGAGTTTCAAATTTTAAACATTGTTTACCTTTCATGGGGATCAAAATCAACACTTCCTGCTTTGAAAAGCAATTACACTTTTGTCAGAAACTGATGACAAAGACTCATCAATGCTTTTGATGCCTACAGAAACTGTAAGGTGTGTATTAACATCAATCAAGGGGAAGAAGAGAAGTCTCCCGAGTACGGAGTAACTCTCCCGCTCCCTACGCCCAGCCTTCTCACTGTTACCAGCACAGCACACAACAGCTGTCAGGACGCTCACTACCTGCTATATCATCTACAGCTGCCCTGATTAGGATAAAATTATATAGTATTTGAATTGCCAATAACTACTATGGCTGTTGCTGCCACTGCTGAGTATTTTTAAAGGAAAAAGCCTGGCATAAACATACCAGAAAAACTGAGTTAAACACAACTCATCTCCTCTCTCATTTGTACAATCATTAGATGGTTTTTACAGGAGAGTTCAGCAGACAGAGTAACTGACTACCTCGCTCTCATAATCACTCTGTAAAAAATTCTCCTTCTACCCAGAAGGACAGTGGTTGCAAGGGAAGGGAAGAAAAAATTCCAGGAAAAATCAATGAGCTATGAATCATACACTAGAACAAAAAATGGCACTGTTAGTATATCCAGGATCATTTGATTTTGAATTTATAAAACCAGAAAGTATGTCTAGCAGCTAATCCACAGATACCTCCAGTACCACCACACCCTCTCACATGAGTCAGATCCTATGAAACCCTTTCTAAAAAAGCTGTAGGGAAGGATTCAGGCTGCCAGTGTCTATTCCTCCTCTGAAAATAGCCTGCTTTTGGGACAACCCTGCCACACAAACCTTTCTCTAACACAGGAAGCATTCTTCTGCCAATGTCACCAGTGCTCTCCAAGTGAAAAAAAAAAAGGAAAAAAAAGAGAAAAATTGGCGACCACACTAAACATCTTCCTAGCCAACTATCAGTCAGACATGGAAAAGAGCTACTGGTAATAGCTCATTTAGTCTACCCCCCTGCCAGTGCAGGAATGTTCCCTACAATATATTTACTACAGCTTTCTAGATTGGATTGAAATGTCTGAAATGGTGAATCATCTACTGCTTTCTTTGGAAGACTGTACCATAGCCTTAGAGGTGGCAATGTTAGGGCTCTCTGCTTGATACTTTAATTTAGATTCAATTAATTTCAACCTTGCACTCCCAAGCAACATCCCATTTGCTATTTTAGCCAAGCCCAAGCCCTTAAGTCCATTTATAGACAGCCATATACAAGTGGGAAAACACAAAGAATCAGTATTTTCACATAAAGGAAATGCAACTCAATTAACTTTATATTAAGATGCTAGAGATTTATGTGAAAACGTTCTCACCATATAACAAAGAACTACAACAGAATATTCTCAGATGCAGTATCAAAAATAAAACCTGAGGTACAAGCTGGAAACTTGAGAAACACACTGAAACAGAACTTTAAACCTGTTCTGTTAAAAGCTGTGAGAAAGAATGGAAGATAGTGCTAAAATATTAACACTGCTGAAGAAAACACTTTTAACTTAGATTTTTATTTCAGACATTGGAGACACAGAACTGCTACAAGTAGTGCATTTGCCACCTGGCCATACAATTAACCAAAAATATCTATGCCACTCTTCCATGCTTCCTTTGTTTTTCCCTAGGAAAAAGGGTGAGGTGTTTCCAAGTGGCATAGAAGAATTACTGTAGAAGGCAGTCTCTTCCCTGTCCTGTCTGTGGCTAGCATGGTGGTTCACTGTAATGTTCCCCTAATGAAGACTATCAGTATACTGATACTGGCAGTGTAACATGCTGAGCACACTGAAACATCTGAAAATTAAATATTTACTCAGCAGATATTTTATTCCAAACTTTTAAGAGAACGAGGGGAGTAGGACTTAGAGAAGGTACACACAGGGCTTAGTCCTAAAGTTAGAGTAAGCAAAAAGAAATCACTGTCAAATGAACTGTTCGACAAATACACTGACACACATCAAAGATCTTCAGCCAGTACTGGTTCATCAGTGTCTTTTGAGCTCCTACAGTAGCTTTCAGTTGGGAATCAAAAAGCACTTTGTAAAGTTAAATTAATCCCTACCACACCTTTGAAAGGTGGAAAAATCTTTCCATATGTGTAAACTGACAGACAAAGGGGTCACAGAGTTACCGACAGCACCAAAAAAAAGAGATGTTGATATCCAGCCCTGCACTGCAAAGCTCAGGCTGCGCCTCTAAAGAGAGCACAGAATACGCCACCGCCCTGACCGCGACACAGATCACCTGCACGCCCGCGGGGCCACCCGCCTAATGCGGCTCCTTAGCCAGTACCATTTACCGAGAGAGGAGCAAAAACCTTCTTCCCCAGGAAAACAACAGCTTTGTTTGAATTGCAGGAATGAGAGCGAAGGCTGGGTGAACTAAGAGCAAGCGGTCAGGGCAATGAAGCACTGCTGCAGGTGCTGGAGGTCAAGGCACACCACAACTGTGCTGCTTGGGACAAATCTACCAGACTCAGTTTTTAAAGAAAATTTGAGAGGTCCAAAGGGGATGTGCTTTAAATACTAATTTAGTAAGTAGAATCCATAATTCCCTTAGCTTAAAAAAACTGAGTGGAAAGAGTCTGACAAAAGGCAGCCACCTTGCATTGTATTTTGTAAGTAATTTCAGTTTGCTAATAACCCAAAAGGGAGAATTTATCAATGTCAACTTGAAAAAAATATCTGGTGTTGGAGAATAATTTCTGGAAAACATGGCTTAGTAGCTACATTATTTTCATGTGATTAGCCCATCCTTCCAATATTTCAATTCTTTAAGATATCAAGACATCCTTCCAATGATTTCAATTCTTTAAGATACCATTCCTTGCTAACTAAGTACTCGAACAGCCATAATCTCAAGTGGCCTGCACAAAACCAGAGGCAAGAGAGATCAGATGCGTAGGTCTACTGGGAGACAGTGAGTTTTGGGGTAGATTTCCCCTTGCTTTACCCACACAGTTGTATAAGCCCCACTGACAATGAACTACAAATAGATTTGAGGTTTCTTGCAGACAACTGGTGGCTTATAAAAGCATGAAGACTAAAACCAAGTACTTGCATGAGACTATCTTGATCATAATGCAAAGCGTGTGCATTTAGGGTAAGTTTGGTATTTTTTATGTTACCCCTATTACCTAGCACACCTTTTGTTTCATGAAAAAGGCCAACAAAACTGCCATTTCACAGCTGCCATTCATAAGTTACTTAGTTTACATAACAAATGAAGGCCAAATGGTACTGGATGCTATTTATTTAATGGTCAGCTGAGGGCAAGAGCTTGGTCACCACACAAGTACACTCAGTGACAGGAGTTTTTTCCGGTGTACTAAAACAAGCTGCAGTTAGAGCACCAGTTGACATTTTTGTATTCCTTTCTAGGTGCTGTAGATTGTGGGCAGGCAAGGATGGTGGACTTTTGTGCTATTAGCATTATTTTCTCTCTGTTAATCCTCATGAGATCTAAACCTTTATTACCATGTGAAGTGTCTTGGCAGCTAAGAGATTTCCATTTTAAGAATCCTGCAGCTTATAGGGCAAAAAGCATCAGTATTTTAAATAGCTACACCATCAACCTCATAAAGACAGTAGTTTAAATTATGCTACTCAGGAATTAATGAACTATCCATATGACTGCTAAGACTGCTAGAATTTGGGATGGGGTGTAAATCTCAGTGAGTAAAAGCCACCAGCCCCAGCAGCTACCTTCAGCCACTTCACTATTAAACTCACTTAGAGCTTCTTTGAGTAGTACAGAGTTGGGAATGGTTCTGAAGGTGGCCTGTACTCTACATGCACTGTCCGTACAGTTGCAGCATGGCTGGGAGAAAGAACAAGTGCCCATTATTGTAGTGTACAACTTGACAGCAAGCTAGACTGCTTCACACTGGTATTGAGTGAGGAGCAAAAGCGGAGTGGCTTACATTAATGGCTGCCTCAAAAATTACTCTTAATTATCATCAGATCCACAACAAACAGATATTGCACATTTTATGTTTAACAAATCCTTTAACCACCAAGCCACCTGACTTTCAGAAGACTGCTGTAGGTGCTCATGCTGTTTTTTCTATATTCCATCACTGCATCAAAGTATACACTACAGGCTGACACAGTGAATGGCCCAAGAAAAAATGCTTTCCAGATGCATCAGTTTATTCTCCATCACCACAAAAAGAGATTCAGAAAGAAAAAAAAAAAACCAACATGTTTGTGGATGCAACACCCACAGCAGATGGCAATAAAAGAAGACTCAAATTAGTGGCATTCTGTATCGCCAAACCTAAACTTCATCTCAGATCAACACTATCCATAATAGTGTTTAAGTAGTAAAAGAAATTTACTCAAATGTGAAATAAACTATTACACATTCTTAGTTCTGATTCACAGTCTCAGACTGGCAGTGACAGTAACATTTTAATAAACATTAGAATGAAGACACCAATATGACCAAATGACACACTTAAAGTGAGAAAACGAACAGGAGAAACCTTGGCATATCCACCCAAAACAGAACCAAAGCAAAAAAAAAGGCAGAGAAACCGCTTTTGCGATCAAAACAGTAAATACTTTATTATAATTTATTAGACAGAATGAGAATGTAAATGAGAAATTAGGAAAGCCAATATTTTCTTTAACAGGCATTTT